AATGCTTTATAGAGTGGACAAAAAAACAAAGCCTTATTTAGGTTTGGGAAACTGGTCCACTGTATAAAGCCTCGGTGTAGATTCGGTCTATCTGCAAGGAAGGAAGTGGAGAAGAAGTGGATTATATTCTAAGCGATATAAAATAGCCTAAGCGAAAGCCTAAACAGCAAATCTTTTTTGACATCGTCGTCATGAATGTTTATACTTACTGGTGGGTTGACGCTTGCAAGCACTAAGTTTTCTAGATCCGTTTCAGCCTGCTGAAATTAAACGAGTTTTATCGGATAACATGTTCATCATAGTTCAGCTAAGGAATCTGGCTGCCAGTAACTAATTATTTGTTTATTCTTATTTCTATATTTTACCTGATGATGCAAGAAAAGTAATCAATAAGAGTTTGCTGTTTGACTTAGTATGGATAGTTTTCACGCAGTTAGACCAAGGCACTGATATTCAATCGAACTTGCAGGCTTAATTTTTTAAAAATTATTCAAGTCGACGCTGAAGTTGAAACAACTTACCTTAGCTTTATAAGCAACTAGAACTTTTTTCCTAAATTTAACCGAAGAGAACTCTAAATTTGACTTAAATTGTATTTCAAGGCAGCAGGTGAACGGTCGATTTTAAGGTAAATCACATTGTTTTACAGTGCTGGATACAGAAAATTGGTTACTTTTAAATTGGAATGGATGTGACAAAGCATAAGCTGTAGTTTTTATAGTTAAGCAGTAACATAGCTTAAACAGAGGAAAGAATAAGATAATCTGTCTGGGGAGCCTAAAAAGCAAGGCTCACAGCATTTTGCCTCTGATAGTACCTGCTAGTTATGGTTGACAGTAGTTGTGTAATACAAACTTCTGCGGTGGTGCAGAGCAAGCATGTCAGAAGTGTAGAAATATTTTACTCTGGAGAGTGAAGACTGTCCTAAAGCTATTTGAAATATCTGTGTGATTATATGCAGCTGTGGTGTCTTCGCTGGTGTCAGAATAATCACCAGCAGCTGCTTGAACTGTGGCATCAGTCGTCATTAATGCTGCTTCTGCTTTTCACACAGTTAGCATCAAGGTAAAGTCAGTCTCTGGCAGAGAAACAAGTGCTCCTCCTCATCAGAAATCCTTTACAACTTTTTAAATAATAATAATCTTAACAAATACAATACAATGTTTCAGACCTACACAAAAAAAGAACAAGCAATGAGAGTCAATTTCAAAGAAAAAAAAACAAAAACATTATTTTGAAATTAAAATAAAATGCTGACAATTTATTTATTGGATGCCCCCTTTTATTATGATTTTACAAACTTAAATTTTAGAACAGTGAGAAAAAACTTAATGAACTATCCCTTTATACAAAGCTTTCTTATATCAAACTCAATCATGGTGCTAACCATCTGCTGCAATAATAAGTATTTTAGTGAAGCATACCTGCATTTCGCACAATGAATATCAAGGTAAAACAAGCGCTCCTTCTGCAAGAAAGAAATTGCTACTGCATGGGGAATTTCCCACTTTGACATGAGCAAAACACCTCAGAACAGCATAACTATTGTTACTAAAACAGACGAGTTCGATATTACACACAAATGAGAACCCTAAACATACTTTATAGGCAAAATAATAACTCTTTTTATCTGATATAGCAGAAACGTGTCACCTCTTTGGAGATTCTCATTGCTTTGAGAATGACCCACAATAGCTTGCTCTCAATGCATTTAATGCAGTATAATTTTGAGCAGCAGATGGTGCAAATGAGCAGAATTTAACCCAAACCATTTTAACTATGTTAAATTCTGCTAAATAGTACGGAGCCCCTCTGATGACATGGTCAAAAAAAATGTTTAATTGTGGCCACGAAGTAGTATTTCGTGCGCACGAAGTAGTATTTCGTGGCCACGCAATGTTTAATTGTGGCCACGAAGTAGTCTTTCGTGCGCATGAAGTAGCATTTCGTGGCCACGCAATAAGTATAACGTGCGCATGAAATACTATTTTGTGGCCACGCAATAAGTTTAACCTGCGCACGAAATACTTATTAATAATATCAATAAATCCGCCCCTGTTTTCAGGCTTATGTTAACTGTAATGACTTATCTTGGACAGGCTGCTATGTAAACGGGCCTTTAGTCCTTCGTTTAGCTATGCTGCGGTTGTTTACACTACGCCTTTTCCACCTAAAATAGCGTCTTAGCAACAAATGTCACGTGACTGGCGGAGACCGACTGGGTAAGCAAATCGAGCGCGCCTTAGACCTTAGAGAAGGCGCGCTCGATTTGCTTACCCAGTTGTCCAGAAATGATATCAATATTATTAATAAGTATTTCGTACGCACGTTAAACTTATTGCGTGGCCACGAAATAGTATTTCGTGCGCACGATTAACTTATTGCGTGGCCACGAAGTAGTATTTCGTGCGCACGTTATACTTATTGCGTGGCCACGAAATACTACTTCGTGCGCACGAAATACTACTTCGTGGCCACAATTAAACATTTTTTTTGACCATGTCATCAGAGGGGTTCCGTAAAATAGGGCTGTTGTGGGAAAAAAGTATTCAACTATTCACTGCGTTTAAATAAACCGAGATTGATGGATATCCCTCAGTCGGCATTTGATTACATCTTTGCAAAGAGAGAACAAGACTGAACGAGATGTAGGAATGATACGAAATTCATTTTGATTCTTTGATTGAAACAGCGTGGTGAAATCTGCTTATAGTTGAGCAGTAACATAGCTTAAACAGAGGAAAGATTAAGATAATCTGGCTGGGGAACCTAAAAAGCAAGGCTCAGAAGATTTTGCCTAAAGTACATGCTAAAAAAATAAATGAAAAAAAATCTCATCAGAGATCCTTAACACTTTTTAAATAACAAAAATCTTAACAAACATGATACAATTTTTGAGACTAACAATGATAATGGTGGAGGTAGAGTTTTTTCACAAAAAAGATCAACCAATGAGTGTCAATTTCAAAGAAAAATAAGAAGCTAAAATTAAATAAAAGAAAATAAAATAAAATGCTTACAATTTACTTAAATAAATAAAATATATTTATTGGATGCCCTCCCGCTTTTTTTTGTTTTTTTAGATTTTAGAAAATTACATTTTAGAACAGTGAGAAAAAAACTTACTGAACTTTCCCTTTATTCAAAGTTTTTTTTTACATTTAACTCAATCTTAGTGCTAACCATCTGCTGCAATAATAAGTATTTTAGTAAAACATTCCTGCATTTCACACGATGAATATCAAGGTAAAACAAGCGCTCCTCCTGCAAGGAGAAATCAAAGTGCTACTGCATGGGGAATTTCCCACTTTGACATGAGCTAAACACCTCTAAAACTCGACACTAATAACAGAACAGCATAACTATTGTTACTCAATCAGACTAGTTTGATATTACACAAAAATGAGAACCCTAAACATATTTTATAGGCAAAACCATAACTTTTTTATCGTCCATAGCAGAAAAATGTCACCTCGTCAGAGATCCTCATCGCTTTTAGAATGACCCACAATACCTTGCTCTTAATATAAGTTAATGCAGTATAATTTTGAATTAGCAGAATTTAACTCAAACCATTTTAACTATGTTAAATTCTGCTAATTAGGGCTGTTGTGGGAAAAAACTATTCCACTACTCACTCAAGTTAAATAAATGGAGCTTAATGGATTTCACTCAGTCTGCATTTTATTACATCTTTGCAAAGAGAGAACAAGACATCCTACAGCCCTTATTGCACGGTAATCAGCCCTGTTCTGATCTAGCTAGAGTTTGTCTTCCTTACTTACAATGATGGAAATGCTGAAGGTTGTGTCCGTGTCAAAACGCATCTCTACAAAAAAACAAATAGAAGAAGAAAGACTCTAAATGTTTTGAGAACTTTCTAATATTATGGCCAAAACTCAAAATAGGATAAACAGCCCCTCTCTCTTAGACTTGTTGTGGCCTTGGAGCTCTGAGGCCGAATGAATAAAACTCAGCACTCATAAATCTGAATACTTATTCGTACATAAATATATGTGAGAGGGAATTAATAGGAGATAATTTTTTTTCCAACCACAAGGCAAAGGTAAAATATACTCTTTATTTTATTTTTATATAATTGTGCTTCTGGCACTACAGGATTCAGAGCCTCACCAGTCATGAACTTCACAGGACGTCACTGCCATCAAATGAGGAGAGTGTGGTCTTTCAAAGATTTCAGGAAGCTGTAAAAACTTTGAACCACACTGTGGTGGCATCTGTAATGATTTATGCAGAGGACTTATTTATTTATTTATTCGTTCATTTGTCAGGTACAGTACACATTAATGAACATTTCTAAAAATGTTTCAGTATTAGCTATGAAGCTAGTTTTCAACTGCTGTCCCTGGGCAAGGTGTATAATGCCAACAACAATTATAACAAAACATAGGAAACATAGAAAAAAAAAAATTGAGGCTAAATACTTCCAAAGGCAGATCTTATAGTTCAAACAGAGACATTGGCATAAATATGTACAGATGTTTTGTTGAAGGAGTGGCAACATCAAGGGGAACTTATTTTACGTATTTTTTAAATCATAACTAAGCTCCTTATTTCTTACAGCCATTTAAATCACATTCTAAAAAAAATGACAGCAGAATCCTTTAAAACTGATGAAAACTTTTGTTTTATAAAATACAAATAAACCAAATTTGTAAAAAAAAACTTAATAAATCTTTAAAGCCACATGAACACACTTATCTCTTTTTCAAAGTTGAAAATCTAAAATACATAACAGATTATGAATTAGCCAAAATCTGAAGCATCCAACCTCTTATGCAGCAAAGATATTATTACATTACATGATTTTTCTTTCTCCTTATGTACTGCTTTAGCCAGATATATATATATAAGAATAAGAGAACTCAATTACTGTGATGATAATACAAGAAAAAAAAAGAAAATTATAATTAAACATCTCACACCTTGTCAAAGCAAGCTTTACAAAAAGTAAAAAATTATTAAAACACATAAAAACCATTGAACAAAATCTTTCGCTCACTTTAAAATGACAAAATGTTAACCTATGTGATAAAATAGCTAAACTTTTTGCTTGCAATACAATTGATGTAGCTGCAATAATGTTGAAGCATTTCAGTATTTACAAAAGAAATAACCCTAAATTTCCTATTTTATTTAATTTTTAGGAATGCAAGTTCAATGCAACCAGGCTTTCTTGTTTTGTGGCAGAATCAATCAGTAAAACTCCAGTCAGACTTCTTGGTTAAAACAACAGTTGTTCAGATATTTTCCCTGTTCAGGCTCTGGACACAGTCCCAAAGAAAGGTGGGGGTAAACCGATTTGATAACCCCTAAGAAACAACATTAGACACACAATGTTTAAGTTTCATGTAAACATGAAAGCTAAGCATGGGGAAATACATTTCTTGAGAATAGAAACTACGTTTCTACAACTAACAACATATTTTTTTTTCCATTTCCTCCTAAGTTTATTCATGATGGATGTTTGTTTTTGAATGTGAAACTAAATCTGAATCAACAACTGAAAACAGTGAAATAAAGTCTTTGATGCTTAATGGCAAAAGCTGCTGGATAGAAGGAAAACTCTCAGATGACTGGACTTCATCCTGGTGCCGCTGATACTACTGTCATGGTAGGTTCTGAGGAGCCAAAGGATTTGAACCCAGATCAAAGATGTTTAGGTCTAGACAGGACCTGATTGAACAACAGAACCAAACAAAGGTTTTTAAAGGAAAAATGTAGAAACAGTTCCTGAATCAGTGTCAAACAGCAAAATCATCTCTTCTACAAACTATTGATCCTGATTACTTCCAGATTTAGTGAACTCACCCCTCTAGAAAAAATGTTCCAGGTTAGTCTGACCCTGCAGTCACATTAGTACCATCCTGTTGTTCTTGACCTGAAATTATAATGTTGTCATTGAGTTCATTGTTTATCACAGTTACTGTATAATTCCATGCTTCCAGCAGCTATTTGATTATTAACATTTATACTGAACCATTTCCAGAGTTTCCAGACCCTCTGATTGTTTCATAGAGACCAAGATCTCCTACAGGAAAGTGGAAATCACACAGTTAAACTAATCTGCCTTAATGTCAGTGATACTGATGTAAACGGAACATTAGAAGCACCTCTTTACATCTATTTCACACATGTTACCTCAATCCTGCTATTATTGTTTGAATTATTAGATGCCTCAGTCAGAACAAGAGACAGAAAATCTCTAAAGCAATAAAATCTCATTCTTATTTAGGGAAGTTGCTGAGTTATATTTGAATCTAGTTGGATACATCTGTAATTAGCTTGATGGTTATTACTGCTTCCTAACATTTATTCTGGATGATTTAACAGTGAAAAAGAAAAAAAATATGATCAGAGCTGAATAAATAGGAGCTTCAACAATACTTTATAATAGAGTTTGAACGGGTTAAAAGTTAGAAATATCCTTATCTATGTTGGTCTGTGGCTAATTAAGCTAAATAAGACTAGACTGAAATAAATTCACAGCAATATTATAGCATTCACATTGAGATTTACTCTTCTATAAATGCAGTCTTCAATAAGAAAATAAAATCATTTGATCATAGAAGTTTGAATGAATGCATTCTGATTTTTTTCTTAACTGTTAATTTCCCAAGTCAACACAAAGGTCATTAGTAGTGTTAAAGATAAAATGATAAAAATATAATGGGAATATAATCTATATTCCATATTTGTGGAACCATTCAGAGAAAAGTGACAGACTGACCATGGAGGAGAGAGGAGTACACTTGCTGCTGATGGTCATCCTGGATGACAGTCTGTGCTGCTCTGATACCTTTACAGAAAAAAAACAACATTATTTTAATTTTCTTCCAAATAAAGAAAGTAACTCAGGTATAACCCTACAGCAGTGGTGGACGAAGTACTCCACAGTAGTACTTTGTAGTCACAGTAATACTTAGTAGTACCAAGTATTCAAAGATCCAAATAAAAATTTCTAACTTTACATTTCTGTGTTATTTTCAGAATCATTTCTTAAGAACTTGTAACTTTCAGAAACTACCTGATGTATTGATGCCTAGAACCACTCTGTTACAAATTCTACACCAGTAAAGAACTTCAGCATAAAAAGGACACAAAAAATAAGAACATCTATTATGATCATTATTTCTTATTTACAAACAAACCTCAATCCTCACAATTTTACTATGGAAAAGAGGGTTATGGTTGATTCTATTACCACCAAGAAACAGAAACTCTGATTTGAGAACTCATCCTACTGAAGAACTTGGCCACATGGCAACAACTAACGCCATAATAACGTTATAAACTACAAATAATATCAGCCCTGAGTTTCTCACATTTATGGAATTTCATGCTAATCTAAATCAGTGGTGTCCATATTCAGTCTTAAGGGCTGCTCGCTTTCATGTTCAAATTGCATTTCAAAAAAGAAAAACGAGAACAACGGATTACAAAGCTAAGCTGAGCCAAAAGGAACAAGTAACTAACAGCTTCCTAGAAATGGACTGAAGTAGAAAGTATAATATTTGACTTTGAAATGTAGTGGAGGGAAAGTTATAAGTACTCCTCCTAAAAATTATTCAAGTAAAGTAAAGATACTTTAAAAAGTACTTAAGTACAGTAATCAAGTAAATTGACTTTGTTACTTTCCACCACGGCCCTACAGTGCTGTGATGTATCTGATAACTTAGACCAGATGCAGCATTCAGTCAATAACTGATATCCAACAAATCATTCAAATAAAACTTTAATCTTATTTCTATGTGGTTTGACTGCTGTATTCTTTAAACTTCCTTAACACAAAATTCAGGTCATTCAGCTGAGAGGATGGAGAGAATAAGGAGAGAAAGAATCTCCATAGAGGTGTGAAGGCAACAGGTTGGTCTGATATTTGGTGGAAGTGAAGGAACAGCCACATAATACCAAGTGATTTATTTTTGAATATCATTTATATTAAAAAACTTGTATTATATAAAAATATAATTGAAGGAGGCAGACATGAGGTGGGTGATGGTATCTGCTATAGAGGAGAGCAGTGAGGACATCAGGAAGGAAGAATGAAACTAGTGAGGCCACAGAAAGATTTAGTTCCTCCTCAGTGTTCTGAGGAAGAAAAGACACTGCTGGGCCTTTTTAATAACCTGGGGGGTGTTCACAGTCCAGCTCAGGGCCTCTGAGATGTTCAATGAGATCTATAGGTGGCAATAATGGCCCTAAATGTTGTTTTCCAGTTTGAAGAAGATACTCAGCTTGATTACTGCAGCACTTCAAGTCTAGAATCAACTGAATGTAAAACATGTTGCTGCAAACATGGAGACCAAAGCTAACTGTAGCTACAACAGACCTGCTTCAGGTTCAGAGCCACAGTTAGTAACTCTACATCTGAGCTCACTGCTTTCTTTCACCTAAATACTTATTTGTAGAGTTAGTTGTAAAACTAAAATGTAATTGAATAGAAAGACTTTTTCTTTCCATTTCAAATCTTACTATAAATAAATTTGAATAAGTGTTATTAGCTGTAATAAGCTAATTATAAATGTTCTAAACACTCAGATTATCATTATTCAGTCACTTCCATCCACTAAGTTTAGGTGTTGCTGTTTCAGTTTAGTCCACATGGGGGAGTGCTCTGTTTGGAGAATGAAAGAGTGAAACATTAGATATTACAATATTAGAGTCTGACCTTTGGAGCGTCTGAACCGACACACCAGCAGAGGCAGAATTATCAGAACGATTCCAATCACTGGTCTAATGACCCACATCACATGAAATGAAGAACTTCCAGCTGCTGAAAATAAGGAGAAAATAACTCCAAACAATATCAATATTATTCTGAATCCAATCATTGATTCTTTCAGCTCTGCTCACCTTTTACTGCCATCCAGCTCTGTGGTGAAGCTTTTCCTGAATGTTCACACTTGTAGAAGCCTTCGTCTGACTGAGACACTGCAGAGATCTTCAGCTCCCCTCTGCTGTCATTTTGGACCAGTTTGTCATTGTGATAGAAAAACACATTGGAAAGTGTATTTTGTCCTCTGAGTCTGCAGCTCAGAGTAACAGAAGCTCCCTCAGTCACAGGATGGACGGGGCTCACCAGGAGAACATCTCCATCTGGAAAACAGTCAGAATATGAAGTTTCAGTCAGAAATCAGCTGCTGCAGACCTTTAGAAGAGGTTAGTGAGAACAAACTGAACACAGGATTATTTTCATTCATGTTTGGCATTTTATCTCAGTCTCCACAGGGAACAATTTAAAACATTAAAAGATAATTTTAAAAAGTCAAATGAACAATAAAGTACCTGTATCAGATATTTATCAGAAAGTATAGATCACACAGTTACTGAGAAACTATGAAGCAACAACCTGATATTGAAGGAAACTCTGGGACTGACCTGATTTAATGAAATTTTATAAAATAGAAAACAACAAAATTTGGAAATTTTACTTTAGAATAAGATTTAATAAAAGTATAAATATTATGTTTGTAAACCTTATTAGTATGTTAAAAGAGGTGTCAAGTAACAAAGTACTAATACTTTGTTACTGTACTTAAGTAAACTTTTTAGGTATCTAAACTTTACTCCATTACTTATCTTTCTTCTTACTTCTGACTTCTACTCATTACATTTTCACACAAGTATCTGTACTTTCTATTCCTTGGCTTCGGTTTAATGCAGAGGTCACGGATTAGCGGACCGAGAACAGGTGTTATGCTGAAAAGTGCATCCCTGCCAAGATATGCATCCCCAGTCGCGGGAGCGCGCCTTGCTCTGTACAACTGTGACTATCGACGAGGAAAACAGATTAAAATATGAGCAATGGAGCAACTTGTTATTATATTAATGATATAAAAAAGTTTAAATATTCCTCTCGTGGGGAAAAAAATGAACATAAACAGAACAGAACTTAACTCATACAATAATGTAGTTATTCAGAAACATTGTGGGCTTTCTTATGATACTGATTGCTCTATAATTGTATTTCTGTTATTTTTTGATCATGCACATCTGCTAGCTTTTTATTCTAAAAATCTATAATATCACAGCAGCAAATGATCAAAGTTTTTCAAAAGCCAGTTTAAAAGCTCCAAATGAGGCTTCAGATCATGCAGCAACAATTGTGCTGTCATTGTTTTACAGGCAGAATTTGCATTTGCTGACCCTTGTCCTTTAACTACTGATGGATATACAGGAATACAGTCATAAAAGTGTCAACTCCTCTGAGATAGCACGGGATGCAATTTTTGGCAATTTCTTTTTTTATTTATTTTTTTATTTAGAAATTCAAGGTATAACATGAATGCATAAATAACTCATATTTCAGTGTTAAATTCTGTTTAAAGTAACAGATTATTAAAAATGTCTCCGGACCTTTACTGGTTGATGATTTTCTTTATTCGGACCCCGCTGATTTTTAATTGGTTACCCCTGGTTTAATGTTTATCAATATTTATTTCAGATCATGTGTGCCATCCATTGCAGATCATTGGCGCCATCCACATCTAGTGAAAACTAGTGTAATTGGATGAGTCATAACGCAAACACTCATTGGTTAGCTAAAGGAAATCATCAGAAGCAAGCAGGTGTTCTTTAAACTGTAAACATGAATTGTCTATGCCATGCTACAATGTTGGATTCAGAAAAAGATGTTGAAATGTCTGAAATGTCGGACACAAGCGAGAGCGTATCGGGAGATGGAGACCAACAAGACCTCCCTCATCCTTGGCCCTATCTCAAAGAATTTTTAGAAATAGTTGAAAAATTGAGCTTCAATTCATATAGTGGCATCTGGCTGTTTGTTTTAAAGGTTACTTTATACTTTTATAAATCTAAATCTCCACATTAAGAAGATAAAAATCTCTGTTTCTACTTAGATAATAATTAATATCTCAAACTCTTCTAGAAGAAGAGAGATTTAATTTATTGTTTCTGAATCACAGAGCAGTGAATTTCATGTAGTAATCAAGCTGCTAAAATAAATGAAAGAAACAAACATAATAACATACCGACTGCAGTGATGTTGACTGAGCTGCTGAACTCTCCTGATCCAGACTCACACCAGAGCACTTTTGTCTGGAAACTAGATTCATATGGTTTTTCTAGTTCAAAGCTACAGGATCCATTCATTGTCTCCCAGTCCAGGCAGGGATGACTGAACCACCGGTAACCATCGTTGTCAGCCCCCCACACTCTGGAATGAGTAAAGGTTCCTCTACAGTTCACTGTTACAGACTCATTGGTGAAGTGTTGCTCTCTGTCAGGACTCACTGAGACAGACACAGCTGGATGAGCATCTGGAAACCCACATGGAAAAAACAATCAACATGAACAAGAGAAGAAAAAATCTCATTAATTCAAATTCTTTTTTCAGATTACAACATTTTATAATGTTTTGCAATAAATTTCTTCTCATAAAGAAGATAAGATTATTATTTTTGATTTTGTTTCCACACTACTAATCTCATCAGTGTTTTCCTTCACAGTCAGACTTTCCCACTAACCTAAAGAGTCTTTATCCGCATATTTAAAGTTGATCATGAAACTAATAATACTGCAAGTATTAATAGTGAATTCATTTTACAGCGTTCACAGTGGTTAGCCCATCATCCTCTCCTTTATTTCTTCCCTTTCCAAACACTTTATTTATTTATTTCTTCCCTTTCCAAACACTTTATTTATTTATTTCTTATTCTGAGATAAACTCAAACCAATGGATGAAGTTCTGGTTGATAAACCTGATTTTCACTTAGAGATTCAAGGATTCATCAAGTTTGTTTAAATAATTTACTTGTCAACCTGATTTGATCCAATCTGTGAAGTAAACACTTTAAACATGAAATCAGTGGGACGTGAGGTTGGTAAATATCCTGAAATGAAGGTGATCCCTAAACACATGATCATTGGTAGAAAATAAACTCTGACCTGCAGACCAGACAAACTCTGCATAACTGTAATCAGTAAAATTCTCTTGGTTTCCTCTTCCAGCTCTACATGCATATCCTGCTGTGTGTCTCTGTCCATGAATGATGAAGGAGTCCTCTACAGTCCCATTGATGCTGTCAGCCAGCAGCTCATATCTGTAGTCCTTCTGTGATCGATCAGGAACAGCTTTATACCAGTAGAACCTCCATCCTGTAGATGGAGGATCAACCTTACAGCTCAGATTAACTGAGGCTCCAGGACTCAGCCATGATGGAGACACAGTCAGGGAAACCCTTATTCCTGTTGGACCAAAAAAAAAAGTTTTTCTAATAGTAAAGACACGTGACCTACTTGAAGTGATTTAGATCTGAACAACATTGTGATCATTAGAAAAACAAATCAAACAAAACTTTAAAAGTCTTTAAAATATAGATGCTACTATTAAAAATCCTATTGATCAAACTGACTGTTATATAGTTCATAACTACTAAACAGAACAATAGGCAAATAAGTTGCTGAAATTGTTAACTTCATAAAAATAGTAAAAGAAAATAAAAGTAAAGAGAAAACCTCCAGGACTCAGGAGAAAACAACATGGAAATAAACGTACTAGTGATGTTGACGGCATTGCTGAACTCTCCTGATGCAGACTCACACCAGTAAACAGCTTTAGGCTCCCAGTCATATTTTAAGGTGCAAACAGATCCAGTCATTGTCTCCCAGGAGGAGCAATTAGTTGAACTTAAACCATAATAGTTTATAAATCTCCTCACTCTCCACTCAGCAGAGCTTCCTTCACAGATCAGCTGGACTTCATCAAAAGCTGAATGTTCCTCTCTGTCAGGACTCACAGTGAGAGACGCTGCTGGATTAGAATCTAAAATATAAGAAAAAAAAGAAAAATGATACAATTTCTTTTTTGTTGTTGTTTAATGGATTTATTTTTCCTTTCATCAGATCATTTCACAGATGTGAATGAAGGAGCATTGGTGTATCTTCAATCCTGAGAATCTAAGAACTCAAGCTATGAAATTAGTCACACATTTTCTTTAAAATAGCAATTAAATATATTTTCACTTTTTATGGAACCCTGTCCATCCAGCCTTTAGATTCAACAATAAAACTTGTATTGCTAATATATTTCCAGCCTCCATTTTTTTTTTGTTTTTTTTTTTTATACTTTTTTATTTAAATTGTTTTGATGAATGAGAGCAAGATTTTCACAATTGTCTTTATCAATAATTTTGCTGAAGAAAATAATCAGAGATATTAAGATAACAGAATGAATTACATAAAATCTGTTAATTTAAACAGAATCTCACTGACCTGCAGACCAGACAAACTTTGGTTCACTGTAATCAGTAAAATCCTCTTGGTTTCCTCTTCCAGCTCTACATGCATATCCTGCTGTGTGTCTCTGTCCATGAATGATGAAGGAGTCCTCTACAGTCCCATTGATGCTGTCAGCCAGCAGCTCATATCTGTAGTCCTCCTGTGATCGATCAGGAACAGCTTTATACCAGTAGAACCTCCATCCTGTAGATGGAGGATCAACCTTACAGCTCAGATTAACTGAGGCTCCAGGACTCAGCCATGATGGAGACACAGTCAGGGAAACCCATGTTCCTGTTGGACAAAGAAATAGTTTATTTTACTAATAGTAAAGACACGTGACCTAGTTTTTTTCTGTATTAACCCTCTAAGACACAATATAATAAAACACTAAAATGTTTTGTTTCTATTTTAAAGATAATCATCTATTTTCTTCAAAGGCTGAAGAAAAAGCAGATCTGTTTTATGAATTTCTATCTTTCTGGGATCCAAACAGCCCTTACACTCAACAATCCCACTTCACTAAGGAAACCTATGACTGTTTTCTCCAGCTATTAATGAAATATAAATAAAACACAATAGAAAGGACCTTGAGAGAAATTAGCTAAAGCTTGTAGTAGAAATCATTTAGATGGTATCATGATGAAAGGATATCAGGTAAAAATAGTGAATTTAGATTTTAAATCATCAGTGATGAAGTTAAACCTTTGGTGATGACTTCCAAATGGACAATGACCTTAATCACTTAGCAGATAAAATAAATCTGATCATCTTTTCTGAAAGAAACAGGAAATGTTTAGAGTCACTTCATTTCAAGAAAATATATATCTGCATCTTTTCCTCCATTGATTTTACATAAATGTCTGATTTCATCTGGACAATAAAGATAATTATAATCTAACAACCTTCCACTCTTTTTTTCTCTGGTCCATCTTTATAGTTTTGATGATCCAAAGGCAACAGAATAAATCAAAAATCAAAGTTTACATCTATTGATGATCATCAGAGTATTTCACTGTAGCCAGTGATTCTGAGGCTCAGACTCTCATCAAATCAATTCTACCACCATCATCTCAATAAATGGGATATAGGTAGAGGAAAGAGATGTCTGAGTTTCTCTGCTGAAAATGTTACTTGTGTGACATGATGATGCAGAAGCAGAAGACGAGAATCATGAATGAATCAAATGAAGAATTCAGACAAGCTTCTCAGCTCCAGTAATCAGTAAAGAGAGAAGAATGTTCTATTACCCGGATTGTTTCCACAGCAGAGGAGGAAACTGAGACCTGAAAAAAGAAGGAAGGACATTCTGTGAGATGTTAGCAAAAGGAAACAAAACCACAGTAAAGAAACATCATAAATCTACTGCTGCATCTCTCCTTTACTTATGGAGTTAAAGCCCAAGTTTGAACTTTATCTTTTAAATGTATTTTACATTCAGTAAAGTGGGTCAAATGGAGCATCTATGTAATCTGTCTGTGATCCCATCACTTTAGCCCAGGTTCCTGCAGAGAGAGGAGCCTGTTAGTCTTTGAATGTCCAATGAGTCTTGGCCAGTATCTGAAGCTCACAGCCACAAATCAGGGTTTATTTTGTTTTAAGTGCTTGAATTTAAATGAGCAAACCAACCACACTTTATTACATTTTAGGTGTGGATGTCCTTTCTGTGTTTAGGCCCTTGTTGACCTCTATATGACCTCTGTTCCTCATGGACTTCATATTGCGTATGTACAGAATGTCTGACCTTGACAAAAACAAGACTGAAATCCCTAGAAGATCATAAAATCATCTCAGCTGCAGTTTCAGTGACTGAAGTTCTGGCAGCAAAGTTTACTATGAAGAGGCTCTGAGTCTGATCTAAGGTGAGGAAGCAGAGAGCAGTTTGGAACAGCAGGTGTCAGAGTCGTACAGCATGGAGGAAAACTCAGATTACAGCCCTTCTGGTGATGATGTCAGAAAAATTATGTCCTCAGTTGTTCCTCATTTCCTGATTATGAAATAGAGTCAATATAACAGTGGATTCAGACAACAGGAGCCACAAGACTGGCTGCTTTCTATGCATATATATCAACATTTCACCTCTTCCTACCTTCATACATTGAAATATATCATTCAAATGTGGGATCAGTAGGTTCTGATGCTGTTCAATGTTGGAATTGTAGTGAGAAACTCAAAATATAAATTCTTCCTGTTATATAAATTTTATATGATCAATTACATCAATTAGGATTATACTGTCAGGGTTCTGCCCTCTGCTTGGGTTGATTTTTAAGTTTCTTTGGCTACGTTCACTAGGGGTGTGGGAAATAATCGTTTTGGCGATATATCGTGATATTCGGCTGCCCAATATAACATCGATCTTTCACTTCTTAGTATCGATTAAAAAAAAATTATTACATAAAACATTGATGGGAAAATGGGCTACCTCTGCACCACCACTCTGGCAGAAAGCGCTGTGGAGCCCTTTAACTGTGCGTGCAGCACCAAATCTGTATTTGAGGCAGTCAGAGTGGAAGAAAACCCCAAACAACATGGATAATAATACCTAATCAATATTTTCTGATGAAAATATACAGCACTTGCTGTTTTATCTCATCATTTGATTTTGATAGCTGGGGAAAATATGGCAATATATAGTGATAATGCAATTTCGTGATAATATCGTATCGTGACCCAAGTATCGCAACATGTATCGAATCGCAACACTCATGCCAATACTCACCTCTAACGTTCACACTGCAGCCTAAAGTGACCCAAATACCATTTTTTTGCCCATATGCGACCTGGATCTGATCTTTTCATGGCAGTCTGAACAACACAGATCCGATTTTTTCCAATCCGACCCAAGCCACTTAGCTATGTGGTCCTAAATCCTATACGAATCTGATCTTTTCAAATGTGACCTGTGTCTGAACGTCATTAATAAACGACAAAGATCACTATTCTGCGTCTTGCTACGCAGAAGCAGCAAGAGAAACAACAACCTTTTTAACCATATTGAAAAGATTGAGTTTTTATGGTTGGAAAAAACCGCTAGATGCGCGCCGGCACTACAATCCATGTTTACTTCAGTACTTTTATGACTGCAGTTCACTCAGGAGATCACATACAAGTCGTATATATTTGGAAATATGAACGGGAACACACAAAAAAAATTGGATTTCACAAAAAATCTGAATTGAGCATCAAGGCCTGCAGTGTGAACGTAGCCCTAGTGTTCTGTGTCTTTGTAGTTTATTTCTACCAGTGCTGAGTTCTTTAGTTTCCCTCTGTTGTCCCCTTGTGCTTGTTTTCCTTTCTGTTATGGCTTCCTCACAATGGGTCTTTCCCACACCTGCTCCCAATCTGCTGATTAGCCTGTCTTGGTTCAGTCTCCGAAAAATATACAACACCTCAGCAGTCATTCAGGGCTGTTTGTTGTTGTTTTGTTGTTCCCTCGTCTCTTTGGTAGTTTTTAAACATATATATAAAAAAAGTTTCATCGCAACTTTCAAAAGTCAGATGAGGGTCTTGAACCGTCAACCTCAATAATGGAAGTCTATCTTTTACAGCTGACGCCACTAGCAAGATCATTGAGAAATCAATACTACGTAAAATCCATTTCAATTGTTCTCTATTTTGCTCATTACATTGTTTGATCTAACCTAACTGGCTTTAACCAGGCTTTAAATTGATTTCACCTCCGATTTTTAATAAGTTAAATACTGTAATTAACTATAAGTCCAGTTCTAGTTAATCATTTATTGATTATCGCAGGATATCATTTTGTACAACACTTTAAAACAGCTGAAACAGCTTTTCTGTCCATCATTGTTCTAAGCAGCATCCACAGACCTCAGGTTGTGTTCAATGTTATAGATAAAGTTGTCAATCCATGTGCTGCTAATTATTCTGCAGTGTTCTTTGCTCTCTGAATATTTTACAATTCATTTTTCAATCTTTCTGCTCTCATGTCTCATCAGGATAAAGATCCTCATCATCTTCCTCATGCTACTCTGTTCTTTAACAGTTTGAGCCTGTGACCTTCTCTGCTTTAAATGATTTTTCCATTTTCTGAGTCCTCTTCGAGGCTGGAACCACATCAGCAGCTTTAACCATTATTTGAAACAGGTTTTAAACTCGGGGGGAAAAAAAATACAGCTCATTGGCTAATTGGTATGATGTATATCCTGCTCACGGACGCTCCGGAAGGCTTTACCATATTAAGAGGAGATGCAGCACAAGTGAAATTAGACACCGTGGTCAGACAACATGCAGTAATTTATAAATGTTTTCAATTAGGTCGGGTCTGGACTAGTCAGCAGGTGGGTCCGGATCCGAACCTCAGTCTGCTAATCCGTGACCTCTGTTCTACAACAAGCTAAGCTTTAGATTCTCTGCAAAGAAGAAAAGACAGAAATGTGCGTCTGAAGCTGCTAGAGCCAAACCACAACCCACATGCCACTGTGGGCTGAATATTAAGCATATTTTTTTCTTTTCACAATAAAAAGCGATAAAATGCAGTAAAAGCTTGGTTCTAAGTTGAAGAGATGTCTAAAAGATAAAACGTTTGAAATGTTTTCAAAGGTTTTGTAAAGATAGAAATCTGGAGTTAAAAAGCTTATTTGAATTCCAGGTATGTATCAGAAGTAGAACGGTGAAATATTAAATTACTTTTTTTTATCACCTGCAAGTAAGTATTAGTTTTTTGCTTGTCGCCCTTCTTAAAGCACCCAGCTGTTCGATCCTTAGATCATAGTTTTAGGAAGAGAGATCAGGTTCTAATCACAAAGATATTTTGTCGTTTTAGCCTTTTGAAAGCATAAATGATTCTTTTTGAACCCAGAGTGAAGAAATCAGATAAGGCCAGTTTCATGGTTCAGTGTGATCATGCAACCTGAGGCTTTCTTTAACGATGACGCCGTAGCTCCAGCTTCCTCTCTATGTGCTCTTAGCCATCATGCTGCTGTTTACCTCTCATAAGCTGCCTGCGGTTTGGGTGTGGTTCTGTGGGATGGTCAGAGCGCCACCAAAGGACAATATATTATACAGCGTTTCTACACTTGTGAGGATGTAGCTGTTTACTTATCAATTTGGGGGAGAAAAAAAAATGTGTTTGACTGGACCTGATTCTCATAAGGTGGAAAACTGACTAACCACCCTTACCTTTCTAATGAGTTATATAGAAAGGTAATATTTATATAATAATTTCTATAATGATACGCAGTAGCCTGGCAGGCCTGACTGACTTCCCCTGTATACACAGTGTGTTAAAGGAGTGGGTAAAACTGATTTCAAAGGCAGAACTCAGAGGAAACACAACTAATGATCTTATCAGATGAGCCGTGTGTCGAGTTAAAGAGGGGGTATTTCCACGAAGTGCGTATCGAGGCTTAAAATCAATTTCATCCGATGTCTCGCTACAGCTATTAAACATGACCGCTTCAGGAAGTGGTTAGGCCTGCCCACAAACTTTGACAGGCATTTCAACAGCATCAGTATTTAATGAAGATGTGGGAGATAGTAGGAGAGTTACCGTTAGTTGGAGAGAGTTTGAATATATTTTAATAGATTGATTAGAAAAATAACCAATCTAATATTAAATAAATATTTGAATTTTATTGCTCTCATATTGGAGGAATTTCCCTCTGCATTCAACTCATCCCCTTGGGGAGCAGTGGGCTGTCATCATGCGGTACCCGGGGAGCAGTGTGGGGTTAAGGGTCTTAAAAAAAAAAAAGCTTCTACCTGATGGATCTAGTCAAGTTTTATTTCTGATGAATATGCAGCACTTTCTGTTTTCTTGCATATCTAGCAGACTAGACTATTGATGTAATAGTAATGGTTGTATCCTAGATTGAAGGTAACAGTAAATTCATTTAGAAAAATAGAAAGAAGCGAGAAGAAAGGTTATCTGTATTCAAATTAAAGAAAGTCTTTGGATCATAAAAGTCATAAAAACATAAATCATACATTTTGACATAAGGTGTCCTATTAGGTTATCTTCACCTTGATAAAAACAAGACTGAAATCCCCAAAATAAACTGAGGTTCTGGGAGCAAGATTTTTTTCCAAACCAATCTGTTCTTAGAATATATCAAAACTCTATCCAGCTGACAGCAACTGTCCTACAAACTCCCACATCTTGACTGAATACTGAGGTTTTTTAAATGCCTGCCAAAGTTCTGGGCAAGCTGGACCCCTTCCCAAAGCGGTAACGTAGTATGGCGGGGTAGCGAGGCTTCGGACGTCATCTATTTTGGCTCCTTCCCTAAATGAAGCAAGCCTCGATACGCACATCGTGGAAACACCCCATCCAGTACGGGATGCACGCCTCGAAGCCTCCGCTCATCTGATAACATCACTAGTTCTCAGTATTTTAGATTTTATCTCAGTTGCCTCATAAAATTTGCAAGACTCACCTCTACCTCCTGGTCTCTGCATTTGGGTCCTCAAAAACCCTCCACCCAATGGTGACGTATACATTCTCAGTAAATGAAAATGTCCAAAAAATCTTATCATGAAGGCATTCTTGACATGTTCAAAGTTTCCAGGACCAAAGCGAGGTTATTAAATATGAACAGTATTTCAAAGCTGTAGTTTTCTCTACTTGAGAATTTAAAGATTATCTATTATCTCCACAATTCAAAGGGAAAAAGTGATGTACTTACACAATAAGCCCAGCACACAGAGGAAAGTGCGACCCATCTTGAAATCCGGCAATAAAATGGTTCCGCTGCTGTGTGGCTCCACAGATATGGTTCTACTTGATCACATGACAACGGCTGAAACTGCAGAATATGAACAGGAAATGTGAAAAAAGAGTATCTATGATACTTGTTTATCAGTTGATCTGCCTGTGGTGTTTTCAAATATCATACCGGGCATTAAAAAAGTTGTTCCTCTGCATGAAGTGTGCATGTTATCGGTCCTCAGAGCCTTTTTACAATTTTTCATGATTCCTTTCCTTTGAACCTGCATCTATTCTGTAAAATAAGTGTTGCAGACCATTTAAACTGTTTTAACTCCACTTACTCTGATATTTTAGACTTGCTTCACTGCAAAACAACATCTTGGCTCTAGTTGAATAGAATCGCTTCCTCCCTCAGACATCAGTGAAAAATGGCTGAAAGTGGAAAAAGGACAAACCTTATGCCTCTTTGTTGCTTTTGTTGGGATATATATTGCCACAATGGAGCCCAAATCAATTGGATGGACCATTACAGACCGCCCTCCTTTCCTTTTACGCAAAGAGAACAAAAGATGCCCTGAAAAGTTCTGGACCTTCTGGTCAAAGGGACAGTCAGCTAACGCATGGACCAATCAGCTTAAGAGGGAGCTGATTCTTCAACAGGAAATGCCCCTACGTCAGTCATGGTTTAAAACTCAGAGTGCGAGCTAAATCTTTCTCTTTCCCTGGGTTCACAGCCTGCGAGGAGAGGCCCGTTTCACATGAAATGCTTAAAGAAAGCTAACTGGAAGTAGCTTTTGCTTTTTCCTGCGTCAAAAGTCATGGATCGCAGTGTCCCATCATGCATAGCGGCCGCGGGGATCTCCGGAGCTAAACGCTAAGTGGAGAGGTGAAAGCCATAAACCCTGGTAAGTAAGCAGATTACAGCGACAATTATTCAACTAAGAACACTAAATTGATTTCACCTCCGATTTTGAATAAGTTAAATATTGATTATCTGCAGGATATCATTTTGCACAACACTTTAAAACAGCTGAAACAGCTTTTCTGTCCAACATTGTTCTAAGCAGCAGCCACAGACCTCAGGTTGTGTTCAATGTTATTGATAAAGTTGTCAATCCATGTGCTGCTAATTATTCTGCAGTGTTCTTTGCTTTCTGAATATTTTACAATTCATTTTTCAATGTTTCTGCTCTCATGTCTCATAAGTCATCGGCGTCGCCAGACCCCGTTTACTGGGGCACGTGCCCCAGTATAAATGAGCTGTGCCCCAGTATAAATCTCATGAATATTTGCAACAGTAATACATTTTTTTAATGCATCAATTTAGATATTTCCAACGGGAGGAGACGTATATTTCTACTCAAATGCGCAGCAAGTGTGTTGGTAACTCCAAATTGAGGATGAATTAGCGCTCCCACGTCAGCGCATGTCACTGCATGAACTGCAGGTAAATTAACGCGCTGCTCTCAACTGAGTTGGATGGGACACTGTGCGGCCGAGACGCATATTTAGTTCTGGTAACGTTTCTTACCTGTCAATTTTATTATTTTCCCAGTAAAACCACATGATTTATACGCTACTAACTGAAAATTACTGCATTGGTTTGTAGATGGATATCAGGAAATTGCTCACACGAATCAGAGACAGGGAAGCAGTAAAACAAGATGAGAGAGGGAGGTAAGGTCCCGTAATGAATTAGTGATTTAAGCTAACTAGTTACATTAGGAACGTTATAAGCAATATGACAGATATTTACATAATCATAAATTTACGTTTTTTAATGTTTGCTGTAGAGAATGAGAGTGAAGGTGCTGGAGTAGGAAATGGAGGAGGAGGCGAGACTGACAGGCAAGAGACAGGTGAAGGACAGGAGAGACAGGACCATGAAGGTGATGAGGGAGCAACAACCAGCGTCCACAAACAAGAAGGGGACATTAGTGACTTAGGGGGAAAGCATGAAGGTCCGAAACAAGTGAAGTTATCCCACTACCCCAGGACAAATTTGGAGTAAAAAACTTTCATTTAATTCAAAATGGTTTGACAGCTTTTTATTGTTAAAAAAGAAAGCCTTGTCATCCAGGATATGCAGTGTGTTTCAACTTGCTTGATAACATCATGTTCCCCACACTAACACAGGTCATCCAGATCTCCTCACAATCAACAGCTGGAGTTGTGAAAGGTCATTCAGTGTGTTGAGAAGGATCCACACTTGGCTGAGGTGCACAATGGGACAAGACAGGCTCCATCATCTTGCTATTTTATCAGTTGAAAAGGAAGAATTTTCTAAGCTGAGTCACAGTCTAGTGATTGACCACTTTGCAAAAATGAAAAATAGGAGGTACACTTTAATGCTCAAAAAATAAAAGAAAAACTTTCCCCTGAACTAAAACTCTGAAACCTAGGAATTAATGATTACTTCAGAATGTGTATAAGGAAACTTTTTATTTTTAAAGTTGGTAATGTCTTATTTTTTATAGCTGCAATGTTGAAAATTTTCATGTTTGTTAAAACAAATATGCTCTTCCACTCATTAATATCTCAAATGGTAATTTTGGTAGGAATGTATCAGGGTGGGGCAGTGTGCTTGTCTGTATTTGTGTATGAAGGAGGGGCATATGCGGTAGGGGGCCAGTGCCCCAGTAAAGCTTTGTGCCTAGCAACGCCCCTGCTCATCAGGATAAAGATCCTCATCATCTTCCTCATGCTAGGCTGTTCTTTAACAGTTTGAGCCTGTGACCTTCACTGCTTTAAATTATTTTTCCATTTTCTGAGTCCTCTTCGAGGCTGGAACCACATCAGCAGCTTTAACCATTATTTGAAACAGGTTTTAAAATCAGGGGGGGGGGAATACAGCTCATTGGCTAATTTGTATGATGTATATCCTGCTCACGGACGCTCCGGAAGGCTTTACCATATTAAGAGGAGATGCAGCACAAGTGAAATTAGACACCGTGGTCGGACAACATGCAGTAATTTATAAATGTTTTCAATTAGGTCGGGTCTGGATTAGTCAGCAGGTGGGTCCAGATCCGAACCTCAGTCCGCTAATCTGTGACCTCTGTTCTACAACAAGCTAAGCTTTAGATTCTCTGCAAAGAAGAAAAGACAGAAATGTGCGTCTGAAGCTGCTAGAGCCAAACCACAACCCACATGCCGCTGTGGGTTGAATATTAAGCATATTTTTTTCTTTTCACATCAAAAAGCAATAAAATGCAGTAAAAGCTTGGTTCTAAGTTGAAGAGATGTCTAAAAGATAAAACGTTTGAAATGTTTTCAAAGGTTTTGTAAAGATAGAAATCGGGAGTTAAAAAGTTTATTTGAATTCCAGGTATGTATCAGAAGTAGAACGGTGAAATATTAAATTACTTTTTTTTATCACCTGCAAGTAAGTATTAGTTTTTTGCTTGTCGCCCCTTCTTAAAGCACCCAGCTGTTCGATCCTTAGATCATAGTTTTAGGAAGAGAAATCAGGTTCTAATCACAAAGATATTTTGTAGTTTTAGCCTTTTGAAAGCATAAATGATTCTTTTTGATCCCAGACTGAAGAAATCAGATAAGGCCAGTTTCATGGTTCAGTGTGATCATGCAACCTGAGGCTTTCTTTAACGATGACGCCGTAGCTCCAGCTTCCTCTCTATGTGCTCTTAGCCATCATGCTGCTGTTTACCTCTCATAAGCTGCCTGCGGTTTGGGTGTGGTTCTGTGGGTATGGTCAGAGCCGCCACCAAAGGACAATATATTATACAGCGTTTCTCATTGTGAGATGTAGCTGTTTTCTAAATCGTTTGGGGGAGAAATAAAAATGTGTGTTTGACTGGGACTTGATTCTCATAAGGTGGAAATGACTAACACCCTTACCTTTCTATGAGTTTATAGAAAAGTAATATTTATATAATCATTTCTTATATATGATACGAGTAGCCTGGCAGGCTCTGACTGACTTACCCTGTATACACAGTGTGATAAAGGACGTGGGTTAAAAAATACTGATTTTCAAAGGCCAGAACTCAGACGGAAACAAAAATAATGATCTTATCAGATGAGTCGGTGCCATGTGTTCGACGTTAAGAGGTGTATTTCCACGAACGTGCGTTATCAAGGCTTTAAAATCAATTTCATCCGATGCCTCGCACTAACAGTTATTAACATGACCGCTTTAGGAGTGGTTAGGCCTGCCAACAAACTTTGACAGGCTTTTCAAA